CCCTCCTTTGTGCCCCCCAACGCTGAGTGCCCTGGCTCAGTGTTGATGTCCCTTCCCCAGACCCCCTTTCTGGGGGAGTTGTCCACACTGATGCTCACATTCCGTTTGCATTTTTCACTGCCTGCTGGAACTCACCCTGACCCTACGCGCATCTGTCTGGCCCCTGGGCAGCACCGTGGGGCCTTCTGAACGCTTCGAGCTCACAGTCGCCTCCTGAGGACCCCCTGACCTGCTTTCCCGCCCTTCCCATCTCAGTGTGCAGAACCCAGTTCTCCCTGCTGTCAGGTGGGAGTGAGAACTTTGGCCTGCCTCTTTTCATACCCCACACCTGGACCACTGCCCGTCACAGCCGTCGATCCTGCCCCCTGGCCGGCCCGCCCTCTAAACTTGCCGGCTTTTCTTTTGGAGCTGTCCTCGCCGATAGCCAGTGATCCTCTCCGTTCCCTTCCTTCAGGCCCTGCCCACACAGGCTCCCTGGGCACTGCCCCCCACTGCCCCCCACCCCTGTGTCCTCTCGGCCTCTCTGCTCCATGGTGCTCTTGGCATGGGGGCTGGGCATGGCGGCTGCCTTGCGGATGCTCATTGAACGTTTGCTGACTGCATTAACAAAAACCAAAGCAAACCTATTGCCACAGAGTTGGTGCTGACCCGGCGGCCCCACTGGTATTTTTTTGTCCAGCAGGGTTTCCAGTGGCTGTGTTCTTGGAGGCAGACCATCAGGCCTTCTTCAGAGGGGTGTCTGGGGGGCCTTGAACCTCCAGCCGTTAGGTTAGCAGGCGAGATGTTGACTGTGACACCCGGACACTCTTCAGTGGCTGCTGAGAGAGTGCCGCTCGGCTCCGACCCGACCCTGGCCTTTCCCCTTGGCGCTGACCCGTCTGGAGACTTTCCGCAGGGCTCCACGCACCTGGAGGCTTCGTTTCCGGCCGGCTGCCCTCCCCCTTCCTGTGGGGCGGTTCTCAGGAGTGCGCACTCTGGATCTGTGACCCTTGGGGTACTCCTTCTGCCCGGGGCGTGGACCCCACTCACGTGGGTCGGGCTGTTGGCCAGATCTCAGGTGCCCAGGTGGGAGCTCTGGTCTGGCATCATTGCCATGGCCCGTGTCCCCTCCTTGACCTGCCCACACCTGACGTGTTGGTGGCCCGCCTGTTGCAGGTTGCCCTGGCTTCACTGAAGTCCTGCAGACCTTCAGTTCCTGCAAGGGGATGCTGGGCGAGATCCTGTCGGCATTCGAGTTCATGGACGCCGAGTGCATGCGGCTCGTGGGACAGCACCTGAGCCTCACCTGCCCTGTCCGAGGTACCGACTTGCAGGGGCTTGGAGGTGCTGTCGCAGCCCCCCGGCCTGGCTTTTGGCCCTGGCCCGTGGGGGCTCCTGAGCCTGGGTCGTGCCAGTGGCAGTCCCGGGGAGGCAGTGATAGCAGGTAATCCCAGGAGTTACATCATCAGACAAGCAGAGAATTCTCTCCTCGTGGGTTGAAAACCCTCCCGTTAGGTCTGCTGAATGCCGTAGGTGGCGCTGTGTCTCTGGGATTCTGGGACAGCCACGGCTCATCCATCAGAACCGTGGGCCCCCATCTCGTAGCATCGTCTGGGAAGGGGGGGACCTGTGATCCTGGTGTGCCTCGGTGGATGGGGGTCCACTGGGAGAATGAGGGTCCACCAGGCGTGTGGGGTCCATTGAGAGGGTGGAGGTGTTCCCTGGGTGGGTGGGGGTCTGCTGGGAGGATGGGGGCCTGCTGGGAGAGTGGGGGTCTGCCAGCAGAAGGGGGTCTGCCCGATGAGTGAGGCCTGTCAGGAGGATGGGTGTCTGCTGGGTACGTGGGGGTCCACTGGGAGGGTGGAGGTCTGCTGGGCATGTGGTGTTTCCTGGGTGGGTGGGGGTCTGCCTAGTGGGTAGGGGTCTGCTGGGTGGGTTGGGGTCTGCTGGGGGGCCTGCTGGGAGAGTGAGGGTCTGCCAGCAGAAGGGGGTCTGCCCGACAAGTGAGGCCTGTCAGGAGGGTGGGGGTCCACTGGGAGGGTGGAGGTCTGCCGGGCACGTGGCGTTCCCTGGGTGAGTGGGTGTCTGCCTAGCAGGTAGGTGTCTGCTGGGCGGGTTGGGGTCTGCTGGGGGGGTCTGCTGGGAGGGTGTGGGGTCTGCCAGGAGGGTGGGGTCTGGTGGGCAGGACACCATGTGGTCGGTGCCTGTCATGTGAGGAAAGCCACTCCTCACTGATTTGGGCAGAGACCAGGGTTCCGTGCTGTCTCTGGCAGGTGTGCTGCTGGGCAAAGCTCGCCCCTGTATAGAAGCTCCCCCCCTGTATAGAAGAAAGAGGAAGGAATTAAGTGGACATATTAACAGTGGTGTCTAAGGCACCTGACTGCTAACCAGAAGGCTGGCGGTTCAAACCCACCAGCCATTCCTCTGGAGGAAGGTTGGGCAATCTATTTCTGTAGTGATATTGCTGGGAAACCCAGGGAGGGGTCGCTATGAGTCGGGTCTGACTCGATGGCACAAAGCAACATTATTTTTGGCAAAAGAGGCTCTCGTGGTGCAGTGGTTAAAGTACTCAGCTGCTAACCAAAAGGTGAGCGGTTTGAACCCCCAGGTGGCTCTGCAGGAAAGCGATGAGGCAGTCTGCTTCTGTAAAGGTTCACAGCTGTTTTGGATATTCACAGCCTAGGAAACTCTATGGGGCAGTTCCTTTCTCGGAATCTACTCGGCGGCGGGGCGTTTGGTTTGGGCTTTGCTTCCGTAAAGATTACAGCCTTGGAGGCCTCACAAGGTGGTTCCACTCTGTCCTCTGGGGTGCTGTGAGTTGGAGTCCACTCGATGCAGCGTTTTAGGTCTTAGGTAGAGAGCTTGGGTGTTGCTGTGGTGCTGAAAAGTTGCAGCCGAGCTTCTAGACAGACAGGAGGTAGGAAGCAAGGCCTGGCAATCGGCTTCTGGAAATGAGTCAGTGAACGCTCCGTGCGACCCAGCGGTCCTGCACGCAGCCGATGGTCACCAAACACTCGGCCCGGCAGTCCCGCCCACAGCTGACCGGTCACCAGACACTCAGCCAGCCTGGTCCCGCCTGCCGCTGATGGGTCACCGAACACTCAGCCCGGCGGTCCTGCCCACAGCTGACGCTGGGGACGGGATGGCCCAGGCAGTGTTGCACCGTGGTGCACAGGGTCCCCATGACTCAGGTCCACGTGGACAGCCAACAACAATCAACAAATAGTGTTTCTGGAAAACTGGGAGATGTTTTAACTTTTTACATTTTTTTTTTCTAAATCTCTTTTTCTTTTTTAATGCATTTTATTGAAATATAATTTATGTGCAGTGAAATACACAAAACTGAAGTGACATGGCTCACTGCATTTTTTTTTTTTGCAGTGTTCCCTCCTCTCCCCTCCCACCCTTGTTAACCAACAGAGACAGTTTCCTTCCATATATAAACTTTTCCGTGACCCTCCACAGCAGCCAACTAATACTATATTAGTCCTTCTGTGATTGACTTATTTCACTCAGCATAATGTCCTCCAAGTTCATCCATATTACACGGAGTTTTGCACTCTACATTATTCTTTAGTGCTGCATAGCATTCCAGTGTGTGTATGTGCCATAGTTTGGTCATCCACTCTTCGCTGATGTGCACTAGGTTGTTCCATCATTTTACTGTTGTAAATAGTGCTATGATGAACATGAGCGTGCATGTATCTGTTCCTGTCCTGGCTCTCACCTCTCTAGAATACATACCTAATAATGGGATTGCTGGGTAAAATGGTATCTCCAATTCCAACTTTCTAAGGAATCGCCATATTGCTTTCCACAGTGGTTGTGCCACTTCACAGTGTGTGACAGTCCCAATCCCCACCTGCATTTGTTACTTTCTGTCTCATTGAACCTTGCCATCAGTGCTGGGCTGAGACGGTATATCTCATTGTTGGTTTGATTTACATCTCTCTGAAGGCCAGTGATCATGAGCATCTCTTCATGTATTTGCTGGCCTCCTTGGGGAAGTGTCTATTCACGTCTCCTGCCCATTTTTCAATTGTGTAGTTAATCCCTTTGCTGTTGAGGTGTTGGAGTTTTCTATAAATCTTAGAGATAAGTCACCAGATTTGTAATTATCAACAAATATGAATTTGTTGCTCTCATTTTTGTTATGTGCTTTTTCGTGGTGTTATTTCTTTGTTCCATATAATTTTCTATGCTGAGCTTGTTTTGTTTATGAATCGCGTTATCACTTTCTTCGTTGCTATTTAGTATTTGCTAAATATTTGTGCTGGTCCTCTTTTTTTATTTTGATGTGAAGTTTTGTCATTTTTCTTTGAGGTTACCCTGTGACTTACAGTTTTCTTCCCAAGTTTAGAACCGTCTGTTCTATCTTGTAGTTGTCTTGACCTCCCTACCATCTTAGAAGTTGTGTAACGACACAGTTTTTCCCTCTTTTTGGTTTGTAGTTGTCCTCATTTGTCAATTGATGTCTCTGGTTCCCTGTTTACAATCTTGTAAGCTTATTTACTTTGGATATTTCCATAGCTGGGTTGGTTTCTGTGTTATATCATCATGTGTGTTAATGGTCAGTTGTTATTGGCTGTTGTTGCTTCTCTGTCC